TTTGGATTGTTTCCAGTTTGGGGCAGTTATGAATTAAATTTCTATCCACAAAAATAGAAATTTTTTTGTTTTTTCTCTGGGACCACAAGAAGATTTTCTAGGTTTCTTAACTGAATAGCCCTTACAATGACTTGGTTTTAAGTTATAGTCTCAATTACTAACCGCAACACCATAGAGGCCATGAATGGTGACCTCCCCAGTGACTAAAAGGTCATCACCAGGTCCCGCAGCAACTATTATGTATCTCCCTGGGCTGCTTGGGAACCAGAATAGACTAGGCTCTGGCTTCAAGACCCTTCTTTATTTCTGGTACTTGTGCATTTAACTGTGTCTCACTCAAGTCCCTCTATTTACTGAAATTCTCTTTTTCTAGAATATTTTTTTAAAGGTAGTAGGCCTTTGAAAAATGTCTGACGGCCAAGTATGTGCCGGGTTCTGCACTTAGAACTGATGCCAGGACAAACAACACAGTCCATCTTGTCCTCCCGAAGATTCCAGTTCCCCAGGGAAGATGGACACTTTAACAGCTAGTTAGGGCCCTGGAAGAACACGACCAGAAGGCCTTATATTGGGGAGTCAGAGAATATCTCCAGAAAGAAATAACATTTCAGGTAAGTCAGAAAAGATACATCGTTTATGACAGGGACCAGCCCTCCATACCCTCAGAGACACCCCCCCCCCTTCACCAGTAGCCTCCCTACACTTTCACCATTCAATCAAGTCCACATAAAAGACAACTGTGATGTGTGTTGATGTGACTTCAGGGTCTGGAGGGGAGAGGGCCAAATGTGAAGATCCTGTGTGACCAGCCTGGGTATGCTGAGACCCTCCTATTTGAAAGATGGTTCCTTTCAGGAAAGGATCACAAGATCACATCTGCAGAGAAAGTAGTTTATTGACCCGCAGGAGGGATGTGGAGTTGCAGGGACAGGATTCCACCTCTGTCGCTCAGAGCATCCACCTTTATTCTTAAGATTTCTTGATTTTTCTGCACTTTGGTTTCAAAGCCTTGACTGCATCCCTGGACGAGGGCAGAGCCACTGTAAAGTAATTTAACATGGTCTTGGTGTGAATGATATTTTTCCAGCCAGTCACCTGGAGTGCAAAGGCCTGTTTCTTTTCTCCTTTTCTCTCTGCTCTCCCCCCAGCTCTACTCCCGCTGTCTCTCATTTGCTCAAAAGACTGTGGATTGTTCTCTCTTCCTGTCTCTCACCTTCTCTCCTACCTTCTCTTACTACTATTCCTCCCCAATCCTTCCTTCCATTTCTTATCCTGCAAACTCTTTCTTCTTCCTTTTCTAACTCTCCTCTCTCTGTTTTTGCATTTTGCCTTTGTCTCTTACTCTTTCCATCTTGGCTCCCCTTTCTTTCCTCCCCATACCTCTGCTCCTCACCCTTCCCTTCCCCCTGCCCCCTTTCACCTCCTCCCATCTCTCCACCTGTCTCCTCACTCCTCTCTGTGTTACCTGACTCCATCTCTATTCAGCTCCATCTCTTCCCAACTCACAAAAAGACATGCGTCTTTTTTCATCCTCCCCAGACACTCTTACCCTTTCCTTTCAATCGTAGCAATGCTTCCAAAATCCATCTTTGTCATAGTCTGGACTGAGTGCACACCAAAACCTGTTAAAGGCGCTCCCATCACTTGTGCAACTGTCATACACCTTGCCATTATACATAAAGGGGAAAAAACAGCGGGCGTAGTCTGAAAAATAGAAGGAAAGGGTGAGAAAATTGCGGGGATGTTATTTTAGTTTTATCAAGAGAAAGGGGACTTGAACAGAATACGTGGGACAGGATGAGGAGTAGCCTGAAGCTTCCGTCTAGGAGGTAACTATGGAAACTCCCTTGTCTCGGGGAAACCACGCGAGGCAAAGCTGCACACTCACCATCCTTAGTGCAGTATTTCCATCTCCCAGTATACTCTTCAGTCAGAGAACACCAGCTACTTAGGGAATCCATTTTGGTGCAATCAAAATACTTTTGGTCTTCATAGGTGAATGGGAAATGGCATGAATTATCTGAAAAAAGCAGACATTGTTCTCCTCATCAGCTCTCGGGGGTACCATTACCTCTGTAGTAACTCCGGCAGCTTCCCTTCGAGCCAGCCCATCATCGCCAAGGGCCTGCCATGTACACAGCCCTCTGCTAAGCATCAGGGAAGTCAAGGTCAATATGATGTGGTCCTTGCCCAGTGACATGTTGAATTTCCAGTGACATGTTATTTACCCAGAGACATTTCTCATGGATATTGGTGTCCCAGGCAACAGATAAGCTTGCCAGACCACAAAGCAGCTTGATTTGGGATCATAATTTTTTATACGTGTTGAGCACTTGTGTCTGGAGCTATAACTTCTGCTTTACCAGATTCAATGTCCAAAGTCTAAGTACATTCCATACCTGGGAACACAGGTGGGTTCTTGTTATTGTCATTAGTAATTTGCCTCCCATCACTCAGAAGCCTGATAAGGAGCCACATTCATGGTGTAACAAAGTGAGTTTCAGCATGCACTGATTTGAGCACTTGAATGGATTGAAGATGAAAACTACAGAAAGCCAGAGGGCTTTGTGGTTATGTGGACCTGGCAGAGACATCTTTGGCCTGGAAGGATTCTCTCAGCCAAGTCACTGGATTTACTGCTGGCAAACATCACGTGCACATTTCATCCAGCCCCTGCCCCCAGTCCTGCCTTACGATTCCTAGACAGGCTTCCTTATTAGAATGTCATCTCTTGGAATGAGGTCCTATCTACCTCGGCACATGGCTGAAAAGCACATGTTGGGTTCAGATTCCAGCCTCACCATCTACAGCTCGCGTGGCCTTGCTGAATAAATAACTCTCTCAGGGGCCCCTGGTCCTCCACCTGCAGCCCGAGCAAGGTGAGCACCTGTCTGTTCCCATTACTGACAGGGCGAACTTAGCTCGTTCATGGAAAATACCTTTGAAGCATGATGATTATGGTCACCACCCCACATGTCAGTTGGTTTTAGTTCATTGTTGTTTTGTTTTCATGATTTTCCAACATTGATTACCTGGTTTAAATGAAGAATACTGGGGGGTCCCAGGCAGCGAATGAGCTGGAAGAAATGCAGACACAGGGGAGATGGATAGAGGAGGCTTGAGCAACAAAGAGGCAATCTGAATGCATAGCGGCAATCAGGACCTGCTCTGCCTATGTAACTTTCTCTTCATGTTAAAATGTTACGACTTTTTTGTTACGGTAAGAACACAACACAAGCTCTTCCCAGTTAACACATTTTTAAGGGTGAGTTCCGTAGATCTACTGTACAACATAGAGACTATAGTTAACAACATTGTATTTTTTTTTCATGCTTTGAAGTCCATTATGTTCTGAACAGATACACGAGGAGGCTACAACGTGACAGATGAATAAGAATCTGACACTTTCTCACTGCTATCCACTGACACACATGAATGAAATGACCAGCTGGGACTCACCCATACCACACTAATCATGGACNCCACCCACCCACCCATGAGGGCCCCACTGGACATCTCACTGCCAACTCTAGCAGACCTTTCCTGACTTCTCCAGTACTCATTGATCTCCCTCAGTATAGCCCCGGCACATCTGCCCGCCTTCCTTCAATATTTTTCTATTTCCCCCACAAAATATTGTCTCCTGTGACAAAGTAACAGCACCTCAGAGACACGCCTTATTTCCAACAGCTTTATAACTTAGAAGCACCCATGAGATGTGACTGGCAGCTTGATGTTATAGGTTTTCCAGGCTACTTATTGAAGTGAATCAAACTTCTGCTACACACACACACACACACACACACACACACACACACACACCCCTCAACTAACAACTAAACTAACCACCACCAACTGCAGCCAATCACCTTAAACTTGATGCTAATTGTGGAGAAAAAAGGCAGTGAGTTTTAGAAGGTAGAGAAGAAGAGAGGCTGCTGTTTAAGAAGGATGGACATGGAAGAAAGGTAAGAATCTGAAGGTTCCTGTATTCCCTCAATGGAGTTATAGTGGCCATGCGGGCACACCCTGGTTTGGGGCACTGATATCAGAGTGGGAGGTCAGTTTTGATCACGGGCTAGGAAATTAGCTGTTTGCGTCCTTTTATTATTCTTCAGTGTTACAAAAAATAATTATTATTTACTGGGCAATCAATCTGTTTCTTGCGCTTTGCTAAGCACTTTAGAAATACAATTTGTATAATCCCACTGTTTATTTTTTTTTTAAGATTTTATTGGGGAATTGGGGGAGGGGAACCCAGTTTTGGGGAATCGGGGAATGGGACTAGCCAAGTTGTTATTCTTCAATCTTCGTTGTGGAGGGCGCCAGTCGCCATCTGGCTGCCCATTGGCAGCTTGTGGCCTCTAAGCTCAAGGTGCTGTGTTCAATCTTATTGCGGGTGGGCATAGCCACCATCCCATGCGGGAGTTGAACCAGCAGCCTTGTTGTTAAGAGTGCATGCTCTATCCACTGAGCCATCTGGACGGCAGCTCAACTCAAGGTGCTGAGTTCAGCCTTAGTTGCGGGTGAGCGTNGTGCCATGGCAGCTGGCCTTCCTGTGACTGACAGATGTCACCTGCTGCCTTCTTATATAACCTGATTTCCCTCACACCACGCCCCCCCAACAGGATAAGAATCAACCTCACCAGGACTGTGTTTGTGCGTTCTTAAGCCTGGGAGCATAAAGTTCAAGTTTATCTCTCAGGTGAAATCACAGGACATTGGCTCATGGTTTCATGTCCCTGAGTCTCAATAGTTTAAAATGCATTTCAAATGAGGCAAAGATGTTTGTAAAATCCCTTTCCATTTTAGTGCTCCATAACCAGGCAAAAGGGAGAGGCAAAAATAGAAAGGACCATTTTCTCTCACAGGGTGTTCAACATCATCCATTTCATTTTCTGACTGCAGACTCAGCATCAGGCACAGGGCCCAACCAGTTAGCCTGTCAGAGTCTCAGAGAAATGTGATAAGACAGCCATACACATCTTCACTTAGAGGAAGAGGAAACTGAGGCTCAGGGAATGCCTCAAGGGCCCAGGTGAGTTGGGACAGAGTTGGCTGTTAAAGCTATGTAGCCTAGTGAACATTTTCAGAGTGGAAGTTTCCCTGCCATGTTTCAACCATATTTATCTACCCCAAAAGGCTTCTCCACCATGGCTCAAAGCTCAAGGAACACTGGAAACACAGCCCATTTTCCAGACCAGAAAAGCCTAGCATTCTCATTTACTTGTTATGAAATGCTTCCCTTCTTCTAAGCCTCAGTTTCCTCACTTGCAAAATGCAAAATGACCCTTCCTTCCAGGTCAATGTGAGTTCTGTGTATTAAGAGCTTTAAGCTGAAGTGGGGACTCTGTATACAGAGGGTGCTCAGTTAAGGCCAACTCATCCTGGGTGCGAATCCATGGGTCACTTACATTTACATGGGTCACTTACATGGGTCACTCATTTACAATTGCAAACAAAGAATAAAATGCTTAAGAATAGATTTAACAAAAGAAACGAAAGAAACGAAAAAATTATACTCTGGAAACTATAAAACATGGTTGATAGAAATGAAAGAAGACCTAAATCAATGAAAACACATCCCATGTTCATGGATCAGGAGACCTGATATTGTTCACATGGTAGTACTCCCCAAATTGATCTACAAATTTAATGCAATCCCTATTAAAATTCCAGCTGACTTCTTTGCAGAAATTGATAAGCTGATCTTAAAATTCAAGAACATTTTTGAAATTTCAAGGGACTTGGAGTAATCTAAATTTTTTCTAAAGAAGAAAAAAATTGGAGGACTATACTTGCCAATTTCAAAACTTCTATAAAGTTACCACAATTGTGAGAGTGTGATACTAGCATAAGGATAGACATAGATCAATGGATTCTAATTGAGAACCCAGAAATATACCTTTACATTCGCAATTGATTTTCAACAACATGTGAAGATAGCTCATTGGGGAAAGAATAATCTTTGTGACAAGTGGTCGCAAGACAATTGCATATCTGCATGCAAATAAAATAAGCTGGAGATCTCCTGCACACCACATGCAAAAATTAACCCCAAATGGATCATAGACTTAATTGTAAGAGCTGAAACTATAACCTTTTTAGAAGAAAATATGGGAGTAAGTCTTCAAAACCTTGAGTTAGGCAATGAGTTCTTAGATATGACACTAAAAGCATAAGTGACAAAAGGAAAAAGTATTTAAATCAGACTTCATCAAAAGTGAAGCACTTACACTTCAAAATATAATCATAAAAGTGAAAGTGAAAAGATACTGCCAGGAAGGGAGAGAGTATCTGCAAATCATGTGTCAGGAAGCGGCTTGTATCTTGAACATATCTAGAGCTTTTAGACCTTGGTAATATAGTGACAATTCAATTAAAAGATGAGCAAAGAAACTGAACAGGTATCTCACCCAAGAATGTACAAATGGTCAATAAGCACAGGAAAAGATGTTCAACATCACTCACCACCAGGGAAAACCACAATGGTATACTATTTCATTCCACCAAGATGGAATTTTTAAAAATAAAATAAAATAACCATATAATAACAAGTACACATATTGGCAAGGATGTGGAGAAATTGGAACCCTCATACATTGCCGATGGGAATGTAAAATAGTGCAGCCCCTTTTTAAAAAGTCTGGCAGTTCCTTAAAAAGATAAACACAGGGCCAGCCGTGTGGCTCAGTTGGTTAAGAGCACAAGCTCTGAGCAACAGGGTCGCTGGTTCGATTCCCACATGGGCCAGTGAGTTGCACCCGAGCTGAGCTGCCATTGAGCTGCCAACAGGTGACAGGATGGCTCAGCTGATGAGAGCACGTGCTCCTAACAACAAGGTTGCCGGTTCGACTCCCACATGAGATGGGGGGTTGTGTCCCGCTCTCCCTCCTCCCCCAGCAACTAAGATTGAACACAGCACCTTGAGCTGGGCACCCACGAGCTGGATGGTGACTGGACTTGGAGCTGAGCTAGCTGGGCCCTCCACAACTAAGATTGAAGGATTAAAAACTTGGCTGTTCCCCTTCCCCGATTCTCCAACACTGTTCCCTTTCCTCAATTCCCAATAAAATATTTTTAAAAAAGATAAACAGACTTACCATGTAACCCAGAAAGTCCACTTATAGGTATATATCCAGGTTAGCAGGAAAAAGTCTTCCTTCTGTGGTCCTCCTTTATTGTCACACAACTACCACCCTCACAACACTTCTGAAAACAGATGTGTGGCCTTTTTTTCCCCACACCAAGTGGTTCTGTGACACCAGCTGGGTGTCTTAAAGTTAACTCAATTCTGACACTCTCTACCTAGAGATAGTGTTAGATTCCACAAGCTAAGGGCTCAGTCCTCGGAGACCGCTAACCCCCAACTTCAAATGCCAATAACAAGTCCAGGTTGTTGTCACCTGGCTTCTGACCCATCGGTTATAAATTGGAGGTTCCCATGACCCCTTCCTGGGTTTGATTTATTTGCTAGAGCACCTCAAAGGACTCAGGAAAATAGCTGACTTACGTTTACCAGTTTACCATAAAACAATATGGTACGGGATACAGATGAACATCCAGAGGGAAAAGATGCATAAGTCAAGGTATGTAGGAAGGAATGTCACTCTCCCGGCACTAACATGTGCTCACCAACCTGGAAGCTCTCCAAACCCCTACTTTGGGGACTTTTATGGAGGTTGCCTCACGTAGGCACGATTGATCATTAATTCCATTTCCAGTCCCGCTCCCCTCTCTGGAGAATAAGGTGTGGGGCTGAAAATTCGAAGCCTCTAATCATGGCTTGGTCTTTCTGGTAACTGGCCCCCATCCAGGAGCTCACCAAGAGCCATCATGAATAAACCTTGAAGACATTATGCTAAGTGGAAAAAAAAAGGCACCAAACACATGTGGCATGATTCCATTTATAGAAAGTGTCCAAAATAAGCAAATCTGTCAAGACAAAGTAGATTAGTGCTTGCCAAGGGCTGGGAGGGTGGAAACTGGAGCAACTAATGATCGTCACTGGTCTTCTTTTTGAGGTAATGAAGCTGTTCTAAAATTGATTGTGATGATTGCACAGCTGTGAATATACTAAAGACCACTGAATTGTATAC